TGCCTACAGTGTTGCAGAGATGCCCAGTAAGGGTTGTGTTAGTGGATGTGTTCCCGTTTACCACAGTGGCGGAAACTAGGTGCAGTCTGGGAACTGAACTGGGAACCTCCTTCTAAGGCTCAGTGTTCTCTGTTTGCCACAGTTTTCACCACTTCCTCCTATCTCCCTCACTTAAGGATGCCAGGAGTCTTTAGTCATCTCCCTTGTTCTATTGTTTTTTCTTATGGGAGAAAAAAAGAATTGTTTCTGCCTGTATCACTATCAAAAGGCAAAAAATGGAGACAGAACCCACCCATACTATACAAGTCTGATGCCTGTCTGACCCCTGCAGGCCAGTGACCTTTCACTTCTTCATTTGTATGCTGATGCAAACCAGATCTAAGAATTCAACCAAATTTCTCCTATGCTTCAGACCTTTGTCTCACTTGACTCTTGCATAGCCATCATAAGTTTCAGAGGTACCTAAGTCCCAACTCTCCAAAACCCAAGACCCTATTATCCTCTGCAAAACTGTTCTTCCTCCTGTGTCCCCATCCTAGTGATGACTACCATCCCCCAAATCTCAGACTTGAGATTTAGGGGGCCCAGTAGTGAACAGTATCAGTTGAGACCCATCAAGAACCTTAAGTAGGACTGGGCTCATACCCAGTGGCACATACCTTTAAGACAGAAGCAGGTGAATTGAGGCCGTCCTGGTCTAAATAGCAGGTTGTCTAAGTCAGCTGAGGCTATAGGGAGTCCCTGTCTCAAAAAGAAAGAAAAAGAATCTGAAGTCTAGTCAGGGACTCAGAGGTTAAACTGACTACATGCAAAGTGACCAAAGCCAGGTTAGGGAAAGAGCCAGGGGCCATGGAACTCCAGAAGAAGCTAGTAGACAAAGAAGGCTTATTAGAGGAGAGATCATTCAAGCTGAGAACGAAAATCTTAATAAGTCATAGTCTGGCTAAGATTCCCCCAGCAGAGGGTGTGTGGATGCTGAGAAGGAAGAGAACCCAAAGCTGTGGCTGCACAAAAGAGGTCACACTGTGTGTGTGTGTGTGTGTGTGTGTGTGTGTGCGCGCGCGCGCGTGCATGCTTTGGGGGTGGTAGTAATAAAAGATAAACACCAGGAAGCAGGGAGGCAAGTGGCTTTATAGATGCCTAGAAGCATATTAAAGAAATGGATTTAACAGCAGAAGTAACACAGAACCAATAAAGGTTTCATTTTCCTGTTTTTGTTTTTGTTTTAAAGGTACAGCCATGCATGACAGTGGTGCCCTAGGATGAAAATGAAGCAGAGAATGACTATCACCATCATAATGTCTTAGCACAATGCATTTCTCACACATTTGTGGTAATGCTAGTATAGACAAACCTACTGTGTTACAGGTTCTATTAGAAGTAGAGGATATATAACTCACACCAAATGACACTTGACAATGACTATAGACAGTGTATTGCTGGCTAGGGATCTACTGTATGATACTGGTATTGTTACTTTGTTGTTGTTTTCTTGTGGTACTGGAGATTGAACCCAGAGCCTTGCACATGCTAGGTTAGAGCTCTTTGTTATTATTTTAGAGCGAAGTCCTGTTTATTAACAAAAAAGTTGACTATAAACAGTAATGCTACATTACCCAGCAGCATCTCATGTTTACTAAGCCTCTTAATGCAATTAAGAGGCTGCAGTGAGTCATTGACCCACACCATTTAGATCTGTGTTAAGTCCACTGTGTGATATTCAAGCAACAACAAGACCACTGGCAATACATATTTCTCAGGACATAGATCCATTGTTATGCCACACGTCTGTACTGTGTTCACATGCAACCCAAATTCAGACATCACAAAGGGGTTTACAAAGAAAAGTCTCTTCCACCCTCAGATCCCCAATCTTCTCCATGAAAGTTTCATGAAATTTTATTCTGGAACTTTCTGCCTATAAATAAACCCATAAATGTGTGCATGCTTTCGTTGGCCATATGCTTGGAATCCTGTACCTCCCTAGGTGTCTTTTCTCCCTTGGCTTAGCTTGGGCATCTCTCTTCATCATTACACATTCTAGTGTCTGGGACAGTCCATGTGGTTATCTCACATTTCCCCATCTCTTCTTGATTTTCTCATCACCAGGTCTTCTCATGTCCTATTGTATCATCAGTCTGTCTTCAGGAACACTCCTGGAAGGAGCCTTGCTGGCTTAAATGCTATGTGCATTATAAATTTAGGTAGAAATTGACAAATATTTAGATTTCATTGATTACAGCCAATTCAATTTCCCAACAAAAATAAGGAGAGTTTGGGTCTAGGAGTAGCATAGTTAGATGTTAGGAAGATCATTCAGTCTTCCTGTGACTGGTGACTAGTATTTGTCAGGAGCTTACTGTGTGCATGCCAGGCATTGTTCTTAACTTTGAGGTGCACAAATGAGAGAACAAAGTCCCCTCTCTCTTAGAACTGGGTTTTCTTGGTTTGGGTTTCTTTTTTTGGTTTGGTTTGGTTTGGTTTGATGTGTGTGTGTGTGTGTGTGTGTGTGTGTGTGTGTGTGTGATTTGTTTTGAGACAGTGTCTTGCTATGTAGTCAGGCTGGCCTCAAATATAAGATCCTTCTGCTTTTGTCTCCAAAGCTCTGGGATTACAGGTGTGCAACACCATAGCATTCTTTTTTTTTCTTATTTTTTTCTGGTCTTTTTGAGACAGGGTCTCCCTGCAGCCCCAGCTGTCCTGGAACTCACTATGTAGACCAGGCTGTCCTTGAACTCTCAAAGATCCACCTGCCTCTGCCTCCCAAGTTCTGGAATTAAAGGCATGTGCCACCACGCCTGACAATGACACCATAGCATTCTATTGAGAGAAGCAAACCAGAAACAGTGAACAAATACATATGATACATCAGACAGTGACAAGTATTCTGGATAAAAACTCAGTAAGGAGGCTGGAGAGGTGGCTCAGCAATTAAGAGCACTGGCTGTTCTTGCAGAAGACCCGGGTTTGAATCCCAGCATCCACATGGCAACTAACAACCATCTATAACTCCAGTTCCAGGAGATCCACCTCCCTCTTCTGGCCTCCACGGACACTGCATGACATGACATGAGTGCACTTACATACATGCAGGCAATACACTCATACACATAAAAAGTGAAAATAAAATAAAGAATAAATCACATTGATGAGGGGAAATGCTGAGTAAGCCAGATGAGAAATGGTAGTTTAGTCAGTGTGGAGGCCAGATTCTGGAGATACATTCAAGGTAGATTCATTGTGTTTTGCTAATGAATGGCTCATGGGGCATAAAAATCAAAGGGAGTCTAGGGATTCTAGCCTGAGGATGAGGGAGACAGTTTTGGAGCAGGCATGAAGGGAAACCATAAGCTGTGCTCATTCTGGCTGCTGAGTGAGTAATGAAACAGGTTCTCCTAGATCCATCTGCCTGCTGGATCCCACTTCCCAAATATTCTCCAGACATCACAAATTCAGCTCATCCAAACAGGGCTCCTTCTCCCAGATCTCCAGCCCAGCAATTCCCACCCTACCCAGTATCCTGCAGGCCACCCTCACTGTTCCTCCACTACAGCCAGTTGCCTCCCATCAGTTTTTCAGATCTCAGTTCCACCTACAGGACTCACATGAAGGACTCCCAAATGCTGTCTCCCACCTAGTTCGCCACAGCTGCTCAGGGCCCATTGCATAGAAGAGGCTACGAGAATGAATGAAGGATCACTTGAATGAGAGGTTGAGTGGCCTCCTCATAGGTCTTGGCCATCTCCTCTCCTTCAGTCCATTTGCCACACCATCCCAGAGCAATCTTTGAATTATGTTGTTTCCTTGACAGACCATTCACAGTTCCCCAGGGCCTACACAGACATAAACTGGTGGCCTACAGACATGTTTTCTTAGGCCCACATAGTGTTTTGCGTTTTATTTAAATCTTGAATTAATTAGCATATTTTACCTCAAACTCTGGGTTTCCCACTTAAAACACTAGAAGAATTGGTGCTCCCAGGTTTCATTTCTCCAGGGCAGCACTGGCTGCTCTTCAACAAGAGTGGCATGCACTCTGTGGATTTGTCATAGTCCCACCACTCCCTCTTGTTTTATATGCAACCTGCTTCCCTCATTTAAATGAAACCATCTGGACCAATGACCCCAGAGTTTGCAGCCCTTTGCCTAAGAACAAATATAGCACTTCTGGGAGCATGTTGCATGAGATGGAGCTGACAAGGGTGGGGAGAGGGTAGTAAAGTTGAAAGGTTAGACTGTGGTCCAGTTGTGAAGTGTCTTGGTGTTTTTTTGTTTTCTTTTTTGAGGCAAGATCTCATTATGTAGCCCAGCTTAGCTTCAAATTGGAAATTCTCCTGCCTTGGCCTCCCAAGTGCTGGAATTATAGGTATGTACTATCACATCTGGTTTCTTAAATGGCATTAAAAAAATATTTTATTAATTGATTTTATTTTATGTGTATGCATGTATTGCCTGCATGTAAATAAGTGCACCTGTGTCACGCAATGCCCAAGGAAGACAGAGAGGCTGTTGGATCCCCTGGAACTGGAGTTACAGACAGTCGTTAGCTGCCATGTGGGTGCTGGGATTCGAACCCAGGTCTTCTGCAAGAACAGTCAGTGTTCTTAACCGCTGAGCCATCTCTCCAGCCCCTTAAATGGCATTTTAAGAAATCTTAGCCAGGCATGGTGGCACACGCCTTTAATTCCAGCACTCGGGAGGCAGAGACAGGCGGATCTCTGTGAGTTCAAGGCCAGCCTGGTCTACAGAGTGAGTTCTAGGACAGCTGGGGCTACAGGGAGACCCTGTCTCAAAAAGACCAAAAAAAAAAAAGGAATCTTATGCAGAGAGGTACTGGGTATGATGAAGCAGAGCAGTGATCAGGTTGGGTTTGTGTTTTTAGCTGAGACCTTCTTGACAAGAGGGAACCAGACAGGGATAAAGAAGCCAGTGAGGAGCCTGAACATGGCCAGGCTGTTTCCCCTGGAGTGTCTCCTAAGTCTGAATCTGCTCTGTTTCAGAACCAGACCACTGCCTTGGGTTCAAGCATGGCTGTGAGGGCAGATGGGCAGTACTGAAGACCCAGCCTGGCTCCAGCTGCTTCAGACGGACTCCAGCCTCCCAAGACGCCTCTGCTGCCCACAGGATGGAAGCCTGGGCACTGAAGGCCCGGCCATGAGGGACTGCTGCTCCCCAACAAAGGCCAGCCCTACACCCACAAGGCATCCCCTTGACCAAAGCCTAGGCATGGACTCTCGACACAGCAGCCCCAGCGGAGCTGGGGAAGGGGCCTCCTGCTCTGAGAGCCCTGCTGGGAGCTTAGCCTGCCCCTCTCCTACCTGCACCTCTCCCCCAGGGGCAACTACCAAGGAGACAGTCAGGGCACATGGAGCTTTGATCTCAGGAACCTCAGAAACCACCTTGTCTGGGAAGCCTGAGCCTGTGTCCTCAGCAAAAGCTGTTTCTCTATCCTCAGAGAACAAAAATCCTACATTCTTAGAGAAGATAGATTCCAACCCCTTAAAGCAAGCAGATTCTACTTCCACAGGAATGGAAGGGGCTGGGTCCTTGAGGAAGGAAGATCCCATGCTAACAGAAAAGGCAGAGCCTGCAGTCTGTGGAAAGGGGGAGCCTGTGGCTATTGGGAGGATAGATCTCATGACTCCAAAGAAAGGCGATCCTGGGTCCTTGGGAAGAGTAGATCCAGTGCACTCCAGCAAGATGGATACAGTATTCCTAACAAAGGAGGAGCCCAAGTGTTCCAGAAAAGAGCACCCTATATCCTTAGAAATGGTAGGCCCTGTATCCACAGGAGAGGGGGATCTTATTTCCTTGGGAAAGAAAGATACTGAGCCCTCAGGAAAGACAGAGCCTGTGTCCTTGGAAGGCACAGATTCTGCATCCACAAAAAAGACAGTGCCTGGGTTTTTGGGAAAGCTAACTCCAGGATCATCAGGCAAGACAGAGCTTGTAACCTCAAGAACAGTGGCTCCTGCTTCCTCCAAAAGTGTGAATCCTGCATGTTCGGGAATGGCAGATCCTGCATCTATGGGAAATGCAGAAATTTCGTCCTCTGCAAAAGAGAACCCTCAGTTTCCTAGAAAGATGGACCCAGCCTCCTCAGGAGAGGATGGGTCTGAGTCTGTGAGAATTACAGAAACACTATCTGCTAGACAGGTGGATTGTGTGCTTTCAGGAAAGACAGGGCCCACATCTGTGAAAAGTACAGGACCTCCAGGCTGGGTGGACCCAGTTTCCTTGGGAAAGGTGGATCCCGTGTCCTCAGTGAAACCAGAACACTTGTCTTCTCAACAGGCAGAACATGTGTCTGTGGGAAAGACAGAAGCCCTTTCCTCAGGAAAAGAGGACCCAGTGCCCTCTATAAGGGTGGACCATCCCACCACCATGGGAGACATAAAAACATCTGCAAAAGTAAATCCTGAGTCTTCAGCAAAAACAGACCCTGTGTCTTCAAGTCCAGGGGACCCCAGGTCTCTGGGGACATGGGGATCCCTGTCTGCAGCAAAAGCTGATGCAGTGACTGAGGGGAAAGGAGGCACACAGTCTTTGGAGAAGGCAGGTCCCACAGCCTCAGAGAAGGCTGATGCCCTAGCCTCAAGCAAAGTGGGTTCTGCGGGTAGAGGAAAAGCAGAAACTGCTGTCTTTGGAGAAGTGGACTCCATGTCTTTAGGAAAAGTGGCCCCAACAACTTCAGGAAAATCAGTCTTGGTATCCCCAGGGAAAGTGGATCTCATGGCCTCTGGAAAAGCTGAAGGCATTCCATCTGTAAAGGTGGATTCTCTGTCTCCAGAGAAGAATAATCCTGTGAACTCCACAAAGGTGGAAGCCAGGGCCTTAGGGAGTGCTGAGCCCATGACTGGTGCAAAGGCAGAAACCCAGCCTCCTGGGCAGCATGGTGCCACATCCTCCGGAAAAGTGGAGGCACTGCCTTCTCAAAAGGAGCAGTCACAGGCCCCTGGGAAAGTGGATCCCTCAGGAAAAGCCGACCCTCCTGCGCCTGGAGAGGTGGAGCCTGTGTTCCTGGGGAAGTCCGACTCTGCATCTCCATCTCCAAGAAAAACAGAGTCCCAGATCTCAGGGAAGATGGCCCCTCTGTCTCTGGAGAAGACCGGGTCCTCTTTCCGGCAATCAGATGGTAAACCGTGCAGCTCAGCCCTGTCTCCGGGGGATGCCAGGAGCCGGGCCCTTACTGAGCCAGTGCACTCCGCCAGCACTGAGGTCTCCAGCCTCGGCCAGAAAGACTCGGCGGCCGCTGCGGCTCTGAAAAGTCCCGGCGCGGAGGTTGCAGCGCCAGGGCCACGGACTCGTGACAACTTCACCAAGGCACCGTCGTGGGACGCGGACGCTCCGCCGCCGCGCGAGGACGCGGGCACCCAGGCGGGCGCGCAGGCCTGCGTCTCGGTAGCAGTGAGCCCCATGTCTCCGCAAGACGGTGCGGGAGGCCTGGCCTTCAGCTTCCAGGCGGCGCCACGGGCGCCCAGCCCCGCGCCCGGGCCGCCCTCGCGCCGGGACGCGGGCCTACAGGTATCTCTGGGCGCAGCGGAGATGCGCTCCGTGGCCACCGGGCCCATGACGCCGCAAGCCGCCGCCCCGCCCGCCGCCCCGCCCGCCTTCCCCGAGGTGCGGGTGCGACCCGGCTCGGTCCTGGCGGCCGCCATGGCACCCCAGGAGGCCGCGGAGCCGGTGCGCGACGTTAGCTGGGACGAGAAGGGCATGACCTGGGAGGTGTACGGTGCATCCATGGAGGTGGAGGTGCTGGGCATGGCTATCCAGAAGCATCTGGAGCGCCAGATAGAGGAGCACGGCCGCCAAGGGGCGCCGGCGCCGCCACCCGCAGCCCGCGGGGGTCCCGGCCGGGCTGGCTCCGTGCGTGCGGCGCCGGCGGATGGAGCCGCCAAGCGCCCACCAGGTCTGTTCCGCGCATTACTGCAGAGTGTGCGCCGGCCGCGATGCTGCTCACGGGCAGGACCCACCGCCGAGTGATCTGTCCCCATTTTGTAGGCCCGGGTTTTCAACCTTCTCAGGCTCCTTTCTTGACGCCAGGCCCCTAAAAGCCACCCCCACTCCCACCCCGAAATGTGTCAGGCCTCCAAGGAGTGGGCAGTCTCTAGGGGCTTCTTTCCAGTCCTCTTTCCAAGCACTGATGAACCTCCTCTACCCAATCCCCTTGTGCCATGAGCCCACAAACCCAGCCCTGACACCCCCGTGTCCTCACAGCCCTTTACTTCCTCGGGTAATACCCTGAGCACAGGGACCTGCTCCCATCCCTCCTCTCCCCTAGAGCTGAGACAGGCTCCTGAGGTGGCCAGAATGGTGCTTTGAGGCCTCTGTTGGGGTCAGGTCGCCAGAACTGGAAAAAGACTGCATGCACATCTTTAAGTGTTTCTCCACATGTGCCAGGATTGGTGTTGAGACCACCAGATTCAAAAGCTCCGAATGGGAGGCCCAGGGCAGCCCGGGTGAGTCTCTAAACGGTGAGCAATGAATCGTCTCCACACACTGCCAGCCCGTGGCCAGGGCAACTCTTGCATACTGTTGGTGATCCTTCCCCATTCCAGTCGCTTCCCACCTAGCCCAGGGCCCTAGCCCTATCTCCTCTCCCACCCAGTCACCTTTCACAGTTCCCATAAAGGCCAAAGGCTAGGAGTGTCCTGGGGCTCAGCTGAGAAGAGAGAGTCACAAAAAGGTCAGAGGGTCTCAGTCAGGACTGGAGGTCATAGTCAGACTCATGGAAGATCTCAGGCTGCTGGCTGCCTGGGTGACAGCTGGTCTTGGGTGTTGGGGACAGGGTGGAGAGCTTATTTGACACCCACAGTTGTCTTTTAAAAGTCTCCCCAACGCCCCCCTCCTTGTCCTCTTTGTGCTGTGAGTCCCTTGTAACCACTCAGTGCCCTGGTCCCCATTCCCTCTAGCCTCAGTTTTTGGCTACAAACTGTCCCAGTACACATTGGTAATAAAAAACCTTTCCCCCAACCCTTGTCTGTGATTGAAAGTTGGGGGCAAAGCAAGCATATATTATATTTGGGGAGGGTCAGGTGGTACAGTTTGGGTTTGAGGGTATCTTCCCAGATGGGAAAGAAGAATGAGGGTCTCCACTACAGATCTGTGGTGTTCAGGCTGGAGTTGGTGAAGGACAAGTCCTCCTTTTTACTTCTGCCTGCCTTCCTTCCTGAGACCACTGCACTCAGAGGGTCTGGCTCCTGCTTGGATATGCTGCTGCGTCCTGGAGGCTCCTGGGGAGAGAGGGAGGGAAGGGTGAAGATGGAGTGCTCTCCCCGGATCCTGGGAGAGTGGATGAGTTTTCAAGCCCATCACCAGATGGCTTCTTGGCTGGAGTTTAATCAATCAGTCCCCCTACCCCACCCCCGCAGTCTCCTGTGCCCCAGAGTCAGCCATGGCCAGGGTGGTGCAGGTGAGATGGGCCTAGGAAGTCATTTTTGGCCCTTGTCCCTCCCTGCCAGAGCACCATTCTGGCATTCTGCCCAGCCCTATGCCAAAGAGCAACTTATCAAAGTTCCTGCTACCCAGAGCAGGCCCCATGTTGGACAAGGTCCTTCCATTCCCTGAAACACACCCATAGAACCCTCCCTTGAGAGAGGTAGAACCAAAGCCCAGAGAACCCTTCAGAGCAAGGGTTGGCCAAGCATTCTTGTGGTGTTAAAGCCTGTCCATGGTACAACACTGCTCCTGGTTGAATTTGGCATCTCCTGCCACCTTCAGAAGTGTTGTCTAGGATCCCATGTGCACTTTATCATGACACGCTGATACATCTCTGCTTTCCTTTCTCTTCCCTCCCTTATGTGACATGCCCCCCTCCACACCACTCACACATACAACTTCCTATGGGAGGGCCAGACCACTGAGCTCAATTACTCTGCTGCAGAGACACTCCCGACCCCCACCCAGAGAAGGGCAAGAGCCCCAGCCACCACTGCCCTCCCCTGGATACTATAAGGGCTTCTGGCCTGGGGATGTTATCATCCCTGGTAAACAGTGGAACCTATGAGTGCTCCCAAAGTTTAATGGTCTGTCTGTGTTCTATAGAGCCCTTGTTACCAACTCTGAGCCCAGAGACCAGACTTCTGGTCTGCTCCTGCCCTGCAGGTTACCTAATGTTGAGCTAGTCAGCACTCTGCTCAGTGTTCCTGTCGATTGCTTGGCAAAGTGGGATTGGGTGGTCTCTTAGTTGTTAACAAATTGTCATGGCACTCAGGGATGGGTAGGGAAAACCTCTACCTGTCCCCCAGCCAGCCACATCCCCTTTCTAGACTCTTCCTTCAGAGCTGTCCTTTCCCATCCCACAAACCAAACCACATTCACACAGAGATGAGCCACACATGGGCTGACTGGCTTGCTGTTCATGACCCCCATCCTTGAGGGCCCACAGAGAGGCCTCTATACCAGACTGCATCGTGAGACACTTGGGCCCCTGTAAAGCCCAAGAGAAGCTTTGGTTGACCCATCCTGTCCAAGCAGTAAGTACTCAAAGGCAAATAAGAACTGTAGTGTGATGGCAGGCTGGGGGCCAGGTGAGCTTGACCCAGAGGAACTGGATAGGGTGATGATGCATAGTATCTCTTCTCTCAGCTGGGCGGGTGGTGCACCCCTTTAATCACAGCACACAGAAGACAGAGGCATGTGGATCTCAATGGGATTGAGGCCAGCCTGGTCTACACAGTAAGTTCCATGCCAGCTGGGGCTACAGGAAGACAGTCTTAAAGACACACACACACACACACACACACACACACACACACACACACACCACGCTCATGCACGCGCACACAGGAAAGAATCGGGTCCAAGGAACTGAGACCCATGCAGCTAAGCGGGCCTCAGAGAGCTGAATACTTGCTTTGTGCCAGATGTTATTATTTTGCCTTTTTTGGGGGGTGGTGTTGTTTTTGTTTTGTTGGTAGTGCTGGGGACTGAACCCGGGGTCTCATCAAGTATTCTACCATTAAGCTGCATTCCTACCCCCCTGTACTAGGGGTTTTTTCAGTGCCTCCTGCTTCTGCTTCTGCTTCTGCCGCTGCCACCGACTCCTTCTCCTCCTCCCCCTCCCCTTCTTCCTCCTCCCCCTCCTCCTCCTCC